AGTACAACACCTCAGTAAACTGAGCAGTGATGAATCCCATGATGATAGAACTCCACAGTGGTTTTGGAAATCACTGTTAATTGAACAGCACCTGCTGATTATGCCCATCTTTCTAACTACCGAGGGGTGCAATTATTTGTATTTTTTCTGAGCAGCCACAAGGTGGTGCTGATTCAGTGCATAAAAAGTACATTTAGAACTAGCAGCCTATTATTCATGTTGGTTTGGCTTATTAGATACATAGTACTCCTGCTTCCTTAAAGGCTAACTTCAGAAGGCAAGGAATTAAGAAGCTCTCGAAGTACACTATATCATACTTACCACGAGACAGTCAAAATAATTGCTAGTGAATTGCTGTAGTTACTTTGTGCTTGCTATTATGGTTTTCTAATTTTGACATTAATCACACTAAATACAAGAGCTACATGAGGACCCTGTTATACCCATAGTATGCAGGATCTTGAATACATGTTTAAATTGCATCCTAGTCTTAATAATTTTAAAGATAACTCAGAATGTTTTTTTTTATTTCTTTCTGAGATGTTTCTCTCTCTCTTGCAAGCACCCTTTAAAAAATCTCTCCCAGACCCCAGTCTTTATGAACTTTAGCCCAGTGGGTGCAATTATAGGTAGAAACTGTGAACAAATAAAGAGAACAGTGCTTTATTATTAAAAAACGAACTCTGGCTACCTCAAGCATTACTGCTCAATTATTTATTAAAAGTTGGAGGCATTATTTGTTCTTTGCCTTTGTAAATCCTTCTCGCAGCCCTTGCAGGCATACATAACAAGCTATTAAGTGGCTTCAACTACAATCCAGAGAGAAAAGTTTCATGTTGTAATGATGTCTGCAAATCAACATATGAAGTGAGTTTACTACAAATCCTTGCAGATCATAACTGCAGTTAATGGACTCAGATGATGTCTGCCTCTCAATTCTGAAACGGGCAACAAAAACACCTTTTTATGGGACCCTTCCAACAGTTTGGATGCAATGGTTCATGGAATTGATTAGATGTTGCTTCTCATGCTCAACTCATGTTGGAATAAATAGGGGTTTCCATAAAAGCAATACTTCTTGGCCTTCACCATATAGATGCCTCTTTGTTTTATAAGGCCAGCATGGGAGCTGTCCCCTGATCTTTCTTTCAGCAATTCCACCTGGCAGCTCAGTGGGAGATGTTTTCTCTGTAGGTCCAATTAGCAGCCACCTTAATATGCATCAGACTTTTGATGTCTGATATCTGGGTCATAATGCTATTTGTGTCTTCTTATTCTGTGTTACGCGGGGATATTTTTAACCACTTTCTCAAGTGAATTCTTCATGCAATATAGTGCCTTTTTAACAAGGAGAAAACAGAAACATTTACATGTAGCAGTAAACTCCATGGACAACATTCATTTATTCATTCATTTCTTAGCTGCTATTCCAGAGTTCAAAGCAACTTATAATAACTGATAAAATAGACTATGGTTGAATGATACATAAAACCACTTAAGGAAACTGAAGGTTGAGCTAGGGTATATCCACACTGCACAAATATAGGAGTTCTGTCCCACTACAAGTGCTATGGAATCCTGGGATTTGTAGTTAGGAAAGGTATTTACAGTTTTTTAGTGCTTCATTGCTATTGCTTATTGATTAACAATTCTAAATACGTTGTGAAAGTAAAACACTGAGGCAGCCAGTACTGCTTCTATCTGTGGTAAGCCTTAATTTATGTGGGAAAACAATATATCAGAACTGAGACGTAATGAATTTCAGGTAACATAGCCATTTGTACCTTGTTACTGTAACAAGGACATAATGAAGTTATATTTCAAAAGTAACACAAGAATTGGAAATGGCATTACTTTTTGTATCTTTTGGTATAAAGCACAATGTTTTCTAGATAATCTTCAAGTTATTTGATGGTGCACTTTTATTTTTCAAGTTTTATACTGTATTTTTTTTATAAATCTTTAATTTTTAAAATTATCAACTAAAAAACTTTTCATTGATAACAATGGCAAATTAAATAGTGGGGTTGTAGCAGACTCCTTAAAACACACACACACACCATTCCAAGCTCTGCAGTAGGTGAAATAGGACATAGTTATCTAGAATTCATTGTCATATAATTAATACAAGGAGAAACAGTATCTGAGATATGTGGGGCCAAGGCCATAGCAGAATAAACATATTAACAAAAGGTTAACAAATGTACATTTAACTGAGCCTAGCTAACCACACTGGCAATCACTCTAGTTGAAATATTACACTTATGCTTTCTAAGCAGGATCCAAGTTATCACCAGGGACAGACCCAAATAAAGGACACTGCAAGGTTTAACCCTGTGAGTTATAAAAACACACATCAGCATAGCAAGAACTGTTCACTCCTTGATCTCCTGTACTTAAAAAAGTATAGATTTGGAACATGTTAGACCTAAATGTGTTGTTGTTGTTGTTGTTGTTGTTGTTGTTGTTATATAGCATCAAGTCATTTCTGTTTGTTCATAGCTATAAAATCTGAAAATTCACTTTTGGAAGCACTATACTTTTTTTCTATTCTTTTTTATTTAAAGTTTTCCAGATACATAAAACAGAATAAGTGTCTAATCTAAAAAGTGAAAATAAAATAACTACAAAGAAAAAGAAAAAGCAAATAGAAATAAAAGAAAAATTAGGAAAGATAAAAGCAACTTGCAATCTTCTCTCCAGCAGTTATTATTGTACTAATCTTCATCTATTCCAACATTGCATTCAGGCTCTGGTTCAGAAATTATATAGTAACAAAGAAGTAGAATTTGGTGTTAGTATACTGATGACAACTTGCTCCAAATTCTCTGATGACCATTCCTAGTGGCTTCATGTAGATATTAAACAGTCCTGGAGACAAGCATGGAGCAACCCACAGAACAGTTGCCCAGGGCCTAAGAAACAAACTTCCAGTACAAGTCTCTGAAATCTGACTGTAAGTACTGTATAAGAGCAGAACCAAAGAAGTACACTATCCCCAATTTCTATCCTGTTGAGTCAGTCCCAGAGATTATGATGAATTAATGAATGTAGATTACTGCCTTTCCAAGTTTTATAAAAAAAGTGTTCTGATAATCTTTCAGTCTGTTTCTAGTTGATTTGCTAACTTATTTGGACTTCATTAAATGATTATTAAAATACCATTAACTTAATGATTGCACTCACAACCCATTTATAGCAATAACCCATACAACTTAGTGTATATAAACATGAAAGCTTTAAATGACTGAATGTGTACCAACAGCATAACCAAGTATTACAGCACAGCACAGTTGAAGCGATGCCCTTTTTGAAATACTCTCCTGCCTACTTCCATATATTTGGAGGCACAGTATGAATATTAGTTCTCCCTCTAGTTTTGGCTTGGCTTAAAAGTTCCTGTCTTAAAACTGTGGAAAGCTCCATGTGGACATAAACTGAGTGTTAGAAGATGTATGGCAACTATTCATCTTTGTTCAGCAATGTACAATGGTGGGCTGCTTTGGATCAATCCAGATTATATTTCCTCTGATAGCTGCAGAGGTCAACCCTAGATTTGTAGGTAGATGTCACAGCTGTAATATTCAGAGGTGTATTACAACTACTGTTTTACTTGTTGCACTTGTTGTGTAGTGTAAGGCTAATCTAATGGTTGTGATATGAGTCATGCTAGCTCTAGGGCTCCAGGTTTTTCTGTAGTTTGCAAACTTCCCACTTGTGGAAGTCAGCATCAAAATTTCTTAGATCATGTTTGCAAATATCTTTATATTGTAATTTTGACTGACTTCTGGGTGACTTAGCTTTGTTTCCTTACTTTTGGTGTGTGACTCTTTCATCCCATGTGTGCACCCAAGTCAGCCTAATTGTCTCTAACAAGAACTGGTTGGCTTGGCCTAGAATATCTGTTCTGGTGACTTCATCTAGCTAGAATATAAGGTAAACAGCAGACATGGAGGTTTTCGAAAAATCTTGTTAGACTATTCAATTGACATCTTTGTCATGAAGGTTGCTTTGGCACTTTTCCAAGGATAGGTTTTAAAATCTTTTAAAAGTGGTGGGTGTACTCACTAATACACTGACATAACAACAACATAATGTTATTATGCAATATTCACTTTTCTTCAGTTCATTGCTAAGTCATGCATGATATGGATACCAGACAGATGACAAATATTATTAAAATGATAACAGACACTTTTCCACCATGGATTTTGCTATCCGTGGGGAGTCCTGCAATCAAACTCCATTGGATACCAAGGGCCCACTGTACACACGGGTCCAATACATTCAATTGTGCCTTTTAACAGATTTAGTTTTACAAGTTTAGTTTTATTATTAGCAAAAGGATGGTGGTGGTGTAACAAATCATTCATGTGTATAGTGGGATGCACATTGTACCTATGGCTTGTAAAGAAAGGATGGTAGCAGGGAACATGTGGATTTTAGGCATTTGAGAAATTAACTTGAGAGAGTCTAAATGTGAAAATAGAGCTTTCTTTTTAAATCCAGAAAGGCAGAGCCAATGACACAGTGCTAAAGGATTATTGCATGGTTCTGATATGCACTGAGGCACAAGGCCAAAAAAGAATAATGATTCCCCTAGAAAAGCTCTTCTCAGATGGTTCTACAGATTAATTCACCAGAGAATGAATCTTATGTGATGCAGTAGAATAAATACTTTTGCACAGGGAAGGCTTGTACATCTGGAGGGGAAAACATCTGGGTAAGGTTTTCTTTACCTATCAAAGTGTTGGTCCTGTATCACTTCCATAATTCTGAATGTAGGAAAGAGTCAGAAGTTGCCTTGATAATGCAATATGATTCCCATATCCACAGGGATGTATTTTGCATGCATTGCAGATTGCCAGACTGAAAACTGGAGAGGCTTCTGTATCTTTCATGGTTGTGGTGAAAAGGGAATTTCAGCAGGTGTTACTTGTTACATGGTTGCCTGACAATCAAAACCTCCTGAAATTTCCTCTTGTATACAACCATTAGGAGCCAGTGTGGTGTAGTGATTTCAGCATTGGAATATGACCCTGCAGACCAGGGTTCGAATCCCTGCTTGGGTATGGAACCCCACTTGGTGACCTCAGGCAAATCACATTTTCTCAGCCTCAGAGGGAGGCACCTGCAAAACCCATTCTGTACAAATATTGCCAAGAAAACCCTGTGATAGTCTTGCCTTAGGGTTGTTGTAAGCTGGAACTGACTTGAAGGAACACAATGACAACAAAAACATACAACCATTAAAAGTACTGGAGCCCTCTCCAATTTTCAGGCTGGCAACCCTAACTGCAAATGAAGATTTTATTCTGTAATATCTGCTGGGTTTCATCTTCCATTTCTAACTTCCCCATTGCTTCTTCCCCTTTATTCTTACTGTAGAAGATCTGTTAAGAGGAAAAGGATGGAAGGGGGCACAGTATCTTTGGAATGAAAGGATTAGGAGATGTTTTTCTGGAAGCACCATTGTTGTGTGTGTATAAACACAGTGGCATTGTAATTGCAATAAAGGTAACATGTTCAAGATTGTCAGCTGAAAAGATCTGCTAGTATTGTCTAAAGCTTCTAAGCAGCTAGAATGTTAGCGGACTGTAGTTTATAAATTACATCACTTTAATGCAGAAGCTGAAGCTTGCTAAGTACAAAGACAGAGAATGTGCATTTGAAGGTGTAACACAGACACCCCAGGTGATGGGAAATTGCTGTTCAAAGAAAAAGAAGTACTGTATAAGCAGTGAATTATCTCTCTCACTTTAATCCTACATATGTCAGAATGGCAGTAATTTCTCACTAATCCAGGTGCATGTTTATTACGGTATTTATCTTGCTCTTCATCTGTTAGTGCACTTTCAAATTATTTGTCTTGCCATCTTTCTAAACCTGTGTACTTTCTGTGGCCAAAGCAACTGCAAGCATGCTGGAATGGTCTCTTTTCCTCCAAGCTGTTCTGTGGTTTATATAACACCATTGCTACCCCCATCTCCTGAGGGGGAACTTATAATTAAGCTGTATCTGTCCTGCCTGATTGTAGTGAGTTTAGCAACTGCTTTGCAGCAGATGGCTGTGTGGAGTGATGCATTCATAGATATGCATACAGAAGAAAGAGCAGAAATTGTTATTTTTACAGTAGTTGGTCATCAGTTTAAAACAAGTATTAACAATTGATTTTCAAAACTGTTAATGACTTTTGGAATGCATTCATTTTTTTAAAAAAAAAATCATTTAAAATAAATAAATAAATGATATTGATTGGTAGACTTGGGCACACTCCTAAATATCTTACTATAACCAGTAAATACTGGTGTCGTCTGTGTGTATGTTTTAAATCATCAGCTCTTCCTTGTGTGAAACAACCAGAACTTGGAAGTTACCCTTTTGGTCTATTAAAACCAACTCAAAATCTATATTAAAACATTTAAAAAGTTGAAAAAAGAGTGTAGTACCCTGTTAAAAGCTTTTGTTTACAATCGGCCAGTTCCTGAAAGCCTGATAGAATTTTAAAAAAAGTTCTTTTCAGCAGAGTAACAAAAAATAGTGGGCCATTCTAGCCCGCAGGAAAGGAGCTCCTACTTGATGTTTCTGTGAATGTAGGAGCTGAGACAAGGACCTCACAGGGCCCAGGAGGGTTTGCAAGAAGACAGTCCTTTAGATATCCTGGACTCAGGATGTATAGGACTTTATGAATTATAACTGGCACTTTGAATTATGCCAAGAAGCCTGGCTTCCCAATTCACTGGACCAGCTGGTTTTGCAGTGCATTGGGGAGTTTCTTGGGTTGCTGCAGTTTGGCTCCAAATTTTCCCGGTGCCTCACTTTCCCAGGAGGCACTGGGGCTGCTGGAACAACCATGACTGGCTGTTTGGGCTGCTGGGAGGCAGGACTTCCAGCCCTGGGGAGGCAAACTCCTGTCATGCCCCACGAACTGCAAGTGGCCCAGGATTGGCCCATTAGCGCTGGAAGAGGCAGGACTTCCAGCTGCAAAGGATGCTGGGATGGTTCTATATATGGCGACGTAGCCAGACGAAGTCACCTTTTTGGCTCGGATCTCTGGCGGGAGCACAGGCCGGAGAACGAGCTCCTTAAATGCAGCAGAAGCAGCAGCAAGTACGAGTCTGGGAGGCTGAAGTTTGGGCCTTCCTGCCTCTACTCCACTATTGAAGCATTTCCAGGAGCCGAGCCAAGTCAGGCTACACTGGCAATGGCTGAACTGGCCTGCAGGCCCATGGCCTTCAACCTCCAGGCCTCACCCCTACAGGACTTGGGAGTGCATGGGACATCATGTGGATGTGGGGGGCACCATTAGGATGGTAGGAGTGAGCTGGCCCTGCACCACATGGGAGGGGCAGCACTTGGGCTTCTGTGCACCCTCCCAAGCACAGCTTCTTCATTAATCCTGGGAGGGATGAGGGAATCTGGCTTGCTCTGCTCTCCTGGCTCGTCCGTCCTACCCTGCCTTCACCATGCCTCCTAAACGGGCCCAGAAGCAGGCAGTGCCATCCAGGCCCCAATCAGGGGCCAAACTGGGCAATCCATAAAATCCTAGGCTGACCTGGCATCCAGAAGCAAGTATCCCTCAGCCAATACAAGCCACTGCCAAGGCCCTGGTCATCACAACGCTCCAGGAAAATGATGTGCTAGTGGTAACCTCATGTTCTGATGGATCAAGTGGGCTGCCTGAGGCTTCACACCCTTTCGGCAGTGAGCTTGGGAGTGACAACAGAGGATTCCATTCAAGTTGCAAACCAAGAGTAAGTCTTTGTGCAAACCTGACATATGGCTTGCTCTGTATCTACCTCCACTTCCAGCAGTAGCAGCACCTCCAGCTACAGCTCTGTGAGCACGTCCACTTCCAATGGCCCTTCTTCCACCTCATGGTGGAGAAAGCATAAGAGGAAGAAGAGAAGCAAAACCAAGAAGACCAGGTCAGGAAAGAGAGCTGGTTCTGGAAGACCTGGCGGGGATGATGAGTCCTCCAATGATGACTCTGGGAGTGAGGAATACTGGTTGGATGGTGCCCTGGTCCCCATCCTCCCATCCTGGGTCATCAGGCTCAGGACACGACATTCGGGTCTAAGGAGGAGCAGAGGGGTTTGGCCTTCTCCACCTTCTCCGATGGCATGGACCCCCCCCCC